AAAGATAAATAAATAAAAGAAGTAGCATGCAGCAACCAGATTCAATTGGCCTGTGCTTTGGTAGAAAATCTCAAGTGGGCCACCCTTAAGATTAGGAAGGTTCCATTTGGCTCTTACAGCCCTTGTTGAGCCAGGGACGATCAGTTGGTCACCTCCTCTGATCAATTTTTAGGGCTGTGGTCAGAAGAGTCTGACATCTTGTGGGCAAAGAAAGGGATCAATGGGAGCCCTAAGAGAACGTGTCTGCTGATGCACACTGTCCCTGAAGCAGTCCCCCTTCTGATGCACGGTCCAGGTTGCCAAAGGTCCTGCAATTACACACCTGAACACTTGCAGGGAAGAGAGTCTCCTTCTGCATTCCCCTTTATCCACTGAGGACAGATATGAGTAAAGACTTTCTGAAACAAGTCTGAGAGTGAGGTCATCCTACCTGATTTCTCATTGTAAGCTGCTGCTCCAGCACCCTGTGAAAAATGAGAGTTGTTTTAAAAAAACTGAAACCGAATGACTACAGATTATTGATAACAGATACAGCCTAATAATCACAAAGCAACAGATACTCTGCTAAAAGCCCTGGGTTTGAGGGGAAGGGGAACACCTACGTGTTTGCTCATTTGTTTAATCTGTGCGCCTGAAATACTTGATATACTAAGTGTCCTAGCAAACATTAACCCTACCCCACTTCCTAGAGGCCAATCAATGCACTTCTGATTCAGGATGAGATGAAGGGTTAGAGATTAACACACGCAAAGGCCCAAAGGTCACAGCCCAAATTACCAAAACTTTCAGATAGGCCTCCAATTTCCAAAGGCTTGTGGGTTTTTCTAGACAGAACAGAAAACATGGGGGATATGAGCCTCATCAGTTACACCTCCCCATCTACCAGTAAGGTCCCACTTTCAATTGTTTATTTCATGACACAAGCCTGAATGTAGAATTTTATGTTTCAACAAATGAGGTGTCTTTTCTCTATTTCTTCGTTTTTCTTCTTCCTCCATAATCCTCCTCCCTCCCTCCCCCCATCGAGCAAAAGCAGAATTGCTGAATAAGTAGACAGAATCAAAATGATATCGAGGTCCCATTTTTACATATCATCCATCCTCAGGCTGCCTCTGGTGATTAGATTAGCATATTCTGGATTCCCTGTGTCTCACATGGTACAAGAAGAAACTTTAATTGGACTACTGATACCAAACTGAAGACCCAGATTTCTTGCTATTATGGGAGGAACTATTCATGTGCTGATCAAAGTTCAAGATTCATCTATGTTTATATATAAGTACTTTTACCTTAGAAAGCTCCATCCTCTAGGACTCTGGGGTCTTCAAATGTTTGTACCCTTCAAATGTTTTGCTTTTCCACGGAAATTTGCTGTTCCCAAATATGGTGGTCCACTTCTAGGAATGAATACAAAGGATGCAATAAGCACAGACCCGAGTCTTAGGGAATTTGGTAAGAATGCACCATAGGAAAACTAAACATGATGATTTCTGGTCATGAGTCGGTTTTAGTTTTACTAGTGAAAAGGCACTATTGTTTTGCTGCCATAGTTACTGTTTACCTTCTATTTTTTACCATGAGGTTCCAATTGAAACTATAATGGCAGTTCAGGGAAGGGAAAGAGACATACGGGCTACAGCAGGGAGAGCTTTATGGAGGTGAGACTAGAACAAGAGCTTGAAGGGTGGAACAGGTTTTTACAATTAGAAGAGGAGAATGATACCAAGTCATAAGACTGAACACAGCATTAAAAAAAAAAAACAATGAGGAAAAACCAGCCTTCTGCGTGAACATGAAGAACCCTGGAGAGTGTTTGAAGAAAGGGCTGTAGTTATGCCTGTCAAGGGTGTGTGTACTGAATTTGTGATAAATTCTTGATCTAATAAGAAAGGGGAGCCCTGACCGGTTTGGCTCAGTGGATAGAGCGTCGGCCTGCGGACTGAAGGGTCCCGGGTTCGATTCCGGTCAAGGGCATGTACCTTGGTTGTGGGCACATCCCCAGTAGGAGGTGTGCAGGGGGGGAGGGGTGGAGGAGGCAGCTGATTGGTGTTTCTAACTCTCTATCCCTCTCCCTTCCTCTCTATAAAAAATCAATAAAATATATTTTAAAAAAAGAAAGGGGAATATCTGGATAAAAATCAGAAACTCTATAAAAATTATTTTGATGATTTTCTATCTAATAGGTGGAAATGAAAATGCTTACTGACACAGTAGTCTGAACTTGTTGTCCACAGAGTTGCCAATAGGCCTCTGAAATGATTTGTAATGCCTTTGCAATAGAAAAAAAATTTGTGCAGCTATCTACAGCATCAGAGCACTATTCTTCCATGTCAGGAAAAACAGCAAGTTCAGTCCAATCTTAAAGTCCCAGGACAAGATGCATTTTTGCCTCCAGAGGGCACTGCTGTTTTCACAAAAGAAGGAAGTCTGGCTGGGGCTTTTGCTTTCGCTGCTGTTGCACTTTTTTCATTTTTCCTTTAGGTCAGGCTTTAATGGCGTAGGAATACACTTGAGGGGTGTGTGTCAGTGTATATACCTCCAAAGAAATCAGAAACAAGGAGCATATTGCCCACAATACAATTTCTTCAATTTTAATAATAATACCAATAGCAACAAAAGTCTTCCCAACTCTCCATCACTGGTTCCTACTGAGTTCTTTTCTCTGCATGGGCAACATGAAGAAATGGACTCTCTATCCAACTGCCAGCTCAGCCCGCTGTAGGGGGTTCCTGCCTCACCCCCAGTACTCCTCTGCTCATCAGTGTCCTCCATGAGGTTAATTAACCTCAACAGACTCTCTTCTGTATTTCATTCTTTGTGTCCCCAAAACTCTGCTTTCTTAGCATCTCTAATGCCATCTTCACTTGGTTCTTTTGGTACCTTTCACTTTACCTTTACAGGCCTTTTGCCTGGATTCACCTTCCTATCCTTATCCGACTCCCTCCAAAGTCCATGCTTTCTCTCCTAGACTGCACAGTTCAATCAATGATATACCACTTATCCACTCAAGTCAGAAATCTAGAATCTTCTCTTTTGTCCCATAAGCAACCTATCAATTAGCTCTAAACACCTAAGTCACTTATGCGACAGTCCTTCTTGCCTATTGACCACTTTACTTCAGGGCCTCAGGGCCTCTTGCCTGAGCTATGTCAACACAGTCTCTTTAAAAATTTAAATATATTTAATTTTACATTTTATTGTTTGGATAGGTAATATGTTTCCTGGTTCAAATTTAGAAGTGTGAAAGGCTCCCTCCTACCCTTAACTGCAGAATCAGAAAGTCTATGCAGCTGTAATTCTGCTAGTATTGCCAAATTGCTTTCCATAAGGATTGACCCATTCCCAGTCTTACCAGCCATGTGCAAAAACGTTCTCTCTGGCTTCTCTGCCTTCATTCATCCCTGCTTGGAAATGTGTCCTCCACATGGTTGTCAACACCATCTTTCTAAAATGCACATCTGACAACCCTTCTGTTTCTTCCCACTGATCTTCATGCCTTTCACTGTCTAGACCTGTGTTGTATGTCCAGTGTGGACCATTAGCCACACGCGGCTCTTGAGCTCCTGAAGTGTGACTATTCCCAACTGAGATATGATGTAAATGTGAGATAAGCACTGGATCACAAAGATTCAGAATGACAGAAAGGATGTAAAATATCTCATAAGCCAGTCAGATAAAGACAAGTATCACACAATCTCACTCACATGTAGAACCTAAAGGACAAAATAAACATGAACAAAATAGATCCAGAGACATAGAAACATGGAACTGACTGATGAATCTCAGAGGGAAGGTGGGGATGGATGGGAAGAGATTAACCGAAGAACTTGTATGCATATATGCATAACCCATGGGCACAGACAATGGTGTGGTGAAGGCCTGGTGGGGAGGAGGGGATGGGCTAGAGTGGTTCAGTGAGGAAAAAATGGGTACATCTGTATAACTTTTAACCATTAAGATAAATTTAAAAACGTTTTTAACATTGATCACATGCTGATTAATTTAGGATATATATGATTACATTTAGGATATATTGAGTTAAATAACATCATGAACATTAATTTCACTTGTTTATACTTTTAAAAATGTGGCTCATAACATTTAAAAAAATTAAAATTAGATATTTGTACGTACAGCACTGATCTAGCCCCTTCCTCCATCATGTCCCTCAGCCATCTCATCGCCTCCAAGGCCCCAGTACTCATCCGCGCCTCAGATGCACCCCACCATTCCCCCACCCCCACCTCTCTCTCTAAGATTTTGCTTCCAATCTCCTCTTGGGGGCCTTCAAGAGATTTGCTTCACATGTCCACCTCCCTTTACCAGCCCGAGGCATGCACGCTCATCTTTACTCTCAAGTGCACAGGGCTGAAAGGATAAAGTTGGAGGGAGGTCATAACGCAAGTGAACAATTTCAATTTTTTTTAAAAAAAATGCAGGTATTAATCTGAACTCTGAACAGGAATGACATTTTGGCTGCACATAATAGTAAGGGTAACAACAGTAAGAGTTGAGAGGAATCACAAGCTCAGGAGAAACTTTCTTTGACTTCAGCACCTGACCA